GACTGCAAAACAGTCAGGTTTTTTCTCAAAATCAGTAAAGAAATCGGTAAAGCGTGGGGTAAGAGTGTTACGCGCGCGAAGCGCGCGAGCCTCACACGCCTGTTGGGCGTGTGAGGCGAGAAAAAAAAACTCCCCAGTCTCACTCTCCGTTTTCAGCCTCGCTCCAGACCTTGCTCGAGCTGATTTGAATACGCAAAAGTACGAACTGTTTTGCAATCTACAAATAGGCCATTTCCGAGTTCCCCGAGCCTCTGTTTGAAAACGAGGTCAAGTGCTCAGCCTTTGATATGGAGATGATTTTTCATTCTCGTGCAAACAAAACTCATTTTCACAAGAAAGGATGTGCACTTAGCTTCATTTTGAAAGTGCGGGTATTTGGAACTCGGAAGTGGCCTATCGAAACGTTTACTGTACTGAAAAAGGACTAGGAAACGAGTCAGTGAGCTAGGGAAAAGGAGAAAACCACCTCTCCTCCTCCTCCTCCATTTTCTCATCATTGAGTACCTCCGTGTAGCCTATTTCAGACGTTCAGGTAGTAGGGAGTGGTACAAAGTAAAGAAAATCAGAGGGAGAACTGGGGAGAGTGACCAGGCTCCCTCCCCCTTTTCTTTCCTCCCTTGTATTCATTTATTCTGTGCCTTTTTTGGATCATTATACATTTCTGGGAATCTACCCACCTACCCCTCCCCTAAACCAATATTTTGCCCTAAGTGAGAAGTAAGTTAGTGTTGTGTTGGCTTATGGGAGGAGTAGGTGGGCAGTTTCCTAGAAAAGTATAATGATCTTGGATCATAATACGTTTCTGGGAATCTACCCACCTACCCCTCCCCTAAACCAATATTTTGCCCTAAGTGAGAAGTAAGTTAGTGTTGTGTTGGGAGGAGTAGGTGGGCAGTTTCCTAGAAATGTATAAAGATCTTGGATCATAATACATTTCTAGGAATCTTGCCACCTACCTCTCCCCTAAGCCAACATTTTGCCCTAAGTGAGAAGTATGTGTTAATGTTGGCTTAGGGGAGGGGAAGGTGGGCAGCTTTATCCTCCTTTTTTACTTTGGGGCGCTCCCTGGCTACTGAAGCTGTATCTAAATTCTTGGAACAGAATAAACTCCCCGATCAATTTGTCAAGTGAAACCTCATCCTTGAAAGATGGTACAACTATGGGAGGCACTAGAAGCACTTTTCTTGACTAGCACAAGAAATCAAAGTTCCTACAAATGAATGTTACGGTACTGAAGTTACTTTAAAGAAAGTATGTTGGGGGTGGGGGGTAAGAAAAAGCAAAAATACCTTGTGAACAGAAGCCCCTAGACTGCCGAGAGCTGAAAGGCAATCCAAATCTACTTTGCGGCTGTAGGTCTGGCCTGTAACCAGGTAATGGCTGTTGAACCCAGCCATTTCAGTCACCAGCTGGTCTAGTCTTTCCACCTATTATAAACAACCACATTTAAGGCAAAAGAAGCTTCACTTTTGAAAGAAACTGACACTGAGCAGCTGGAATTAAAAGAAGGGCAGTTTGATAGGAAACAGCCTGCATAGCAAGCAATTCTGCTCAAGTTAATGTATGACAGCTGCAATGCTCCAAGTTTTCACTCAATAACCCAAGCGGAAATACTTGCTACCCAGGCTAAAGAAGGAACCTCGAAAAAGAATGAATTTCTACCTTGTCATGGTCTCCATCAAAAAGACTCAGAAAACTGGCCTGGGTACCTGTGGTACCTTTAACCCCTCTGAACCTTAAATCATCACGTGCTCTAGTTAGGTTTCTTAGGTCCATTAGCAAGTCAGACAGCCAAAGGCAAGCCCTTTTACCCACTGTAGTCAGCTGAGCTGGTCTACAATGAAAAACAGGTCAGTGTTGTTAGTAGGAAGAAGTAACTGAGGCCTTTGTTTCATGCTCACCTGTAAACAAGGTAATTTGGGACATACATACATGTAGGTCCAACCATTTTCCAAGCAAAGGCCTTCTTCATCATTTTTTTAAGACCCTAAGTGTATAGCAATGTAGAGTCTGTTCGAGCAGACTGTAGAGTAAATTAAAGCAAAGTAGAGTAGGTTAGAGCAGAGTAAATTAGAGCACAGTGGAGGTTAGAGTAGTGTAGATTACACTGTAGAGTACAGGCTATAGTATAGAGTACACACTGTAGATTTGAGCAGCATGGAGTGGATTACAATAATGTGGAGTAAACTGTTAAAGAAGTGCAGCGTGTGTTACCGTAGGGTAGAGTAGGTTAGCAATGCACACTATGTTAGAGAAAAGCAATATAGGGTAGATGAGAGTGAAACAGAGTAGTGGTAGGTTAGAGCAAAGCAGACTACTGGTAGGTTAGAGCAGGGTAGAGTAACTAAGAGTTGAGCAGTGTAGAGTAGGCAGAGAAAAGCAGAGTAGGTTAGAACAGTTAAGCATGATGCAGAGTTACAGTCTTGGGTAGGCTACCAGTTGTAAAGCGTTAAAATTAGCTGAAACAGCAGGCCCTAATGCCTTAAGATAAATTGTTTCCATAACTTACTGAAAATGTGTGTAGCCAAGGGTGGGAATTGACTTGTTCTGCTCTGCAAAACCTGACAATCTATGTATGCATCTTGCAAGCTTCAAATAAAATCAAGAAGTGAAAAGACATTAAGATAAAATACTGTAACCTTATTCTTAATAACTGCAATAAATACAGATGTAATACATTCATGTACATGCACCTTGTACTCATAAATTACATTGCATTATTCCAGAAAAATTCAAACTTCCCAGTGACACCAAAGGTAAGGCTGTGCTCTAGCAGAGCCCAGTGGCCCAAGGCACCTAGTTTTTGTTCTCCGGCAACTAGAATATCTTAGCTTTTTCATACAAATCATATGCTGGGTGCCTGTATTTCACAAGCTCAGAGCAGTGGGCTCCCTTCAATTTTTCTTAGAGCACAGCCTTGAAAGGGCTCAGACATCTAGCCTCTAACCTCAACCTTTTGTAACAATTTCTGCAAACATGAAATAAAAGTCAGCCTCACCTTTGGGAGTAAAATGTTGAAAGCATCCTTTAACACAATAAGGTCCTATAACAGTCCAGAAAATTTCAAATATCAGTCAAAACGGAACAGACAACACTCTTCCTGAAATTTGACGTCCCTTCATTTTCTTTGACACAGCTAGAGCTGTCTATATCCTTTATCCTGCTATGGACGTGTACACATAGTCACGATAATCTTGCACTACTGCTGTGGTTATCAGGAAAATCCAGGAGTCTGTCCAAGTATTTTGATTTGTTAAAGAGAGAAGAGCTTTTTTATGGGACTGCTATGGTATCAGCACCATCCCTTTTAACATTCCCTGTAGTAACATTCTTCGCCTGTGTGGAATGATTGTCAATCATGACAGAATTCTGAGAGCAGAATTCTGAAATGGCCACTGTTAGAGATGTTGCCATATCTTTCGGGGCATTTTTGGGTATTTCACTAAAAATGACAGGAATTAGTCAAGTAACCTATCTTTATAACTGTACAAAATAGTCACTGACAGAAGACAATCCAGTTTCAGTGCCATTGGTACCTCTGTGGGCAAAAACAAACTTGATTCATACGCACAATATGTAATCCCCTTAGCTCTTACAGGTGTACAAAATTTTCTGACAAGCATCCTCATTGCTTATATAAGAAAAGTGCCCCTGCCCCTTTGTATGGGACGAATGGTGAATGCATATTGCAGACTTGCAGGCAAGTAAACAAGGTAAACAATGTTATGATTATGCTCTGAAAGCTGTTCCTAGACTTTAGAAAATGTTACTGCAGAAGAGGATGACTAGTCAGGGTTCTATCTAGAATTTATTGCTTGGGGAGAAGTCCCAAGTGGCCGAATCGCATGAGCTTCCTAGGGGGGTCCCGGAGGCATGCTCCCCGGAAACGTTTTGAAATGAATATGCGCTGAGATGCCATCTGGTGCCATTGAGAGACAATTTTGAGAAATGTTACAGTGTGTGCACTGACCTCGTTGCGTCTGGATGATTTTTCCGATATAGTTACTTATAAACTGTAACGATAACAGTATTTTTTTGGGGAAAGCTGGGCATTTTGGGGGGAAGCTTCTACCCCTCAAATACCCTAGATAGAACCCTGCTAGTTTTAAGAGGCATTCACGTCACTTTTTTAGTTGCTGACCTCACCTTGATTGTTCAAACGTTGGATAGCACTATCCACTGGATAAATCACTCTCCAGAGGATAAGTATTAGGTAAACCAATTGTGTTAACCACTGGATAGAGATTTAATCAGTGGGTAACGTTATCCACCTTTCAAACAAAGGCCCTGCCAGACTCCGGCCTGCACTTGTCCCACCCTACATTGAACCCCCTCCTCTCCCTCCCCTTCCTCCCTCCCCGCTCCTCCGTGACACCTCTGTGTAAATATTGTACTCACGTCCCAGTAGATGTAAATGTTTTTTTCGACAAAAACTTACGGTATTATCACCAACATAACAAGATGTGGCTCCCAGATGTATTATAGGGGCAGCTTTGGGACAGCACGCGCCAAAAGTGTGCACGTGCGCCATGACATCATGTCGTCTCTTCTTTTCCTCGGCAGCCGCTAGTTTGTAGTCAATATTTGTTAAGTTAGTTTCCATTTCCTGAATTTGCTCATCTGTGATGTCCAAGCCTAGCATCTATAATAAAATAAAAAATAATACAAAACTCGATTTTTAACAAATCGCGATTGGCTTTTCACTGTAGCTTTCGAACTGTGTCAACACCGACAAATTGTAAATTTCACCTTCTCGGACTTAGCTAAAAAGAGCCAGAGCTTCCTCCACGTGGAGAATTTTTTGTCTTCGGAAAAGTTAAACGCCATTTCAGCGCTAGCATAGCGACTAGTTAATGGACTCCGATAAACAGCGTGAACCGAATCTCCCGCGTCCGCCATCTTGTCTGTAACTGTAATGAACCTACGATTATTTGGTCAGCGAACATTGAAAACAAATTTACATTGGTACCAACTGAGCAGCGGATTGCCTCAAAAATGTTATGGCGGACGAAGAAAAAGTTCATTTTACTTTCGCCGATGATTATGCTCCGTATTTTTTGTTGATCTTCTCCCCGATCTTTGTGATTAGCTGCCTTTTCGGTATAGTTTACACTTTCCTAACCACAGAGGTGAGATATTTGCCGTTTTTTTCTGTGTAAGGGAAGAAAAGATACATTGTTTACAAGTTTAATACCCTGCTGTCATTTCGACGCAGCTGAAACTCAAGCCAGGTTCCCTTACAATCTTCCGGATCGTGTTGAGTCCTCTCAAGCTGTGGTCAGAGGATCGACGAGACGATCATATGGAAACATCTGTGATGCGAAGAGGGTAGATCGGGACGACTGCAACGATTTTTTTGAAATGACAAGTCGCACAAATTCAAACTGCTGTAACTTGAATTTGTGTTTGGTCACGAGGAAAAGCCCTGCTGCGGGAACAAAGATTTCGCAAAAATTTTCGTTGTAAGGGGCCATTTCACTTAATATCCAAGGCACCACCCACCACCACCAACACCCCCACAGAAAATCATATCTATAGATTGAGGGGGGTGGGGGGGGGGGGCACTGGCAAGTTTTTTCCGAGGGGTCACCGCATTGACGCCTTTGATCTTTGAAATATTTCTGAGGAATATCGGACTGTGTCGGTACTTTTGACCGTAGGGGGTAAAAGGGAGTCAACTTACCTCGTCTGAAGAGGAGAGGGGCAGGGTGAAGTGTGGCTGTAAAATGGAATGGCCCTGACCTGTGTTGCTGGCATTTGTTGCCTGACAAATACACATGGAGCAGTTTGTCAGATCGAGAGATCTGTGGCAGCAACTTCCCACCCATTGTTTGATTTCGAAATATGTTAGGCGGGCAGCAATACATGAATGTACAAACAACTCTTAAGGGACACCTCTATAAGATGAACACTACCTCTGTAAAACAGACACCTAGAATTGATCCCTGCCTTTCTTTACCCCCTTTATTGGACTCTCTCTAACATGGACATCTCTCTAAGACGGAAACTTTGTGCTGGTCCCATAGGTGTCTGTCTTAGAGGGAGTTGACAGTAATGCAGTGTAATATAAAACAGTGTCCTTGTGAAGAGAGTAGACATTCATATGCGTCTTTAATTTTACAGGATTTTCCAGAGTCATGTCTGAACCAGTATTCACCATGCTACTTTGGTCTCCTTGTTCCAACTTTTATACCAGTCTTGGTTGTTTTTATGTATTTCAACTGGATGGGGCTGAAGTTTTTTATTCACAACTAACCAAGAGAAGAAAGAGATAGAAATGATTATCAGTGACACTGAAGAAAGCGATGATAATGATGATGATGATGATGGTGATTGATGATGGTGATTGATGATGATGATGAAAGATAGAGACAATTATCAGTGACAATGAAGAAAGCAATGATGATGATCACAGTGATGATGATGATGATGATGAGAATGACAACAGATTTTTGAACAGTGAGTTTCTAGGGAAGACATGTTCTGGAGTAAAGCAACTCAGGCTTTTAATCATTACACTCAGTGAGAAAAAGTCATACAGTTAAACCTGTATGTAACAGCCCTGTATATAGTGGTGACCCTGTATATAAACGGATACACTCTACTGTAAAAGTGGCTATGGTACACCTCTCGTACAAGAGAGGGGAACAAGCGTGGTACAATGGTGAGAGCGCTCACTTCCCACTAATGCGGCCCGGCGGGTTCAAACCTGGCGTCAATGCTATGGTGGGTTGAGTTTGTTTTTAGCGCTCTCCTTTGCTTCGAGAGGTTTTCTTCAGGTACTCGCTCATGTACATCAAGGAGGAGGGAACATGTACTCTCTCAGCTCCTCAAAAATCAACACTTCCAAATTCCAATTCGATCTGGAAGAATGCATAGACATGTTTAAACGGGTTCTTAGAAATCTTAAGTACTTTATGGGAAATCGAATTACAAATTAAATTGCATATTACAAAGGAAACTCAGCAGAAACCTTCATAGAGTATGTTTATGGATGAAAATCCAGTCGTCATCAATGGTTCAACTTTTAAAGAAGGTCGGGCCGGCCGCGCGGGATTTTTTCGTGCCACGAGCGATGTCGCCTCCATTTCGTTTACGCTTCAATTGAAATGCATCACTCAAGTGACAAAAATATTCAGAAAGGTATAATTATGACACAGGATCGTATTTATAGTGAAAAGTCTTCATGTCCGTAGCATGAGTCAACCCGGCAGAAAACTTTTATGACAGCGGAGAGCGGTGCGATAAGTGCTAACTCGGATTAATAGTATAACCGACTCAGGGGTACTATTCTCCGATTTAGCACTACAGATTTCCTCCAATTTTACTATTCTGCGATTAAGAAAACTGTCAGTGTGTTAAGAACAATTCTCCGATTATACGATTCTATAACTGTAGCGTGCTATTGTCCGGTTTTACCCAAATGACTGTAAGTCGCCGATTGTACGATTCTTCCGATTCGACTATTCTACAACTGTAGTGTGCTGTTGTCCGACTTTACCTAAATGATTGTAGCAATAAGTTTCCGATCGTACGATTCTTCCCATTCTACTGTATTTTACACATACATGTATCGTAACAAGTCTCCGATTACACGATTCTCCGACTTTTCCTGGAGCACGCTTCTTTCCGCCTTTATGACTTACGCAACGAGGAATAATGCATGTAATATGCGTCGTAAAACGAAACTCGCGAATCGAAATAACCGTAGAATCGGAAACTGAATTATAGATCACAACTCCTATAATTATACTATTCTCCGATTAAGCAGTTATCGCACCTTTCTGTGATAACGTTAGTCGTGTCCACATATCGACTCAAATCAGTCCTTGACATACTTTTTTAAGCAACACAGGCCCGTTTTATTTTTCTCTCTATGTTTTGATACATGCACGCAAAGAACTAAAACTTCACACTGCTATTGCGGCTGGTCTATCTGACTGTTTGTGATCAAGATCTGCCACACCTCCTTCAAGGGCACACAAAGCGGCTGTAGAGACAAAGACAGAACAACAAGATGTATTAGTTTACGATTTAAGATTCGTATGAGGGTGTGAACCTATCCTAAAGGTGATGTTACACGGGATGATTCGCAACGACGATTTTTAGCGCAACACAGCGTTGCAGCGTTGGAAGAATGTTGTAACTATTCGAAACAATGTCGCAACCGATGATGTTGCAACGCTGTGTTGCGCTAAAAATCGTCGTTACGAATCGTCCCGTGTAGCATCACCTTAAGGGCCTGTTTACAAGGAAGGAGGGTAACCCTGGTGTTAGGGTTACCCTAGCACTCGCACAGTTCTCTCTTTTTACGCGACGTGTTTACGAGGCAGATAGGGTTATCCTGGCTCTAGGGTAACCCTCCCCGAGTGCAAGGGGGGGGGGGGGGGGGGGTCCCCTCCCTGCCTTGTTCCCCTCGCCACCCC